GACATTGATTGAATGTTTACTTTTCAGCTTCAGTGTGAAAGCAGCTGCATTATATCTCTCAAAGCATCTGTCCTCACTTCCATTCAATTTGGCCGAACAGTCAACATCGTGTTTCTTTTGTGGCACTTGTGGTACCATCTTGCAATAAAACCACCCACACTGTTACAATAAACATGTATGGATAAATTACTCTTTTCCAATTGATGGACTATTTAGTTTCGTTTTGTTCTTAATTTGTTCACAGCTTTACATCAAATCAGGGGTAGGAGCACGAGGAGGCATTTTAATACAGTACAAGACCCAACTACCTTCTAATATGCAATGGCGTGTCTTTGTATAGTATATCATTATTTCTGAAAAGTACATCAGGTGATTTGTGCGCAAATCAAACATTTTGTACCAGCATCAGTACTGACTAAGTGTGTGTGTTGTGTGCAAGGTGCTCTCTACTTCATTGTTTTTCGTGCAAGCTTGGTTTATCTGGCCTTACATTGCCACTGGTTGAGTTCGATTTCACAAGCAGGTTTGTGCAACTAAATGTCCCCTTTCTTTAAAAAACGCATTTAGTCAAGATGGGCGGATTTTACCCTGATGACATAAGCAAAAACATTTTGGAATTGAAAGAATGACAGCAGAGACTACAGTTTCAGTAATCACAATAAGTCACCTGATCAATAAAGAGAATGAACATCTTTGCCTCACTTGTTATCTTTGACGGTTGTTCATTTGGATGGTTTTGCATTAAGTAGTAGTCGTACTTATGATGAGATATCAGTGTCCATAGCAACTAAGGAGCTGTTTTAGTGAAGGAGGATCCACAGAAGTATAATTATAACCTGGACTACCAATTGGCTCTTGTGGCTGAAGGCAGAGGGCAGCCATCTTGCGTTGCCTCTGTTTCTGACCAGTTTTTTTTTTTTTTTGATGAAAACATTGTTATTGGTGCATTTTTTTGACACCTGAATTTCTGTATGAAGTAATGAGAGCCTCATAGAGAGCACACTTTAATGGCTGCATCGACCATTCTGTGAATATTATCTCGGTATCTTAGTAATTGTGACTTACAGAATTCAAATGTACATTTCACAGCATTTTTTTCCCCTGATGTTTTGATAGTTCTGAAAACATGATGCAGACAAATCTTTAAGTAGCACTCAGAGTTACTTTATATATTATCAGAGAAAATGCATCATTTCATTCTGAGAGTTGAAATGTGCTTTTAGAGCGTATTGCACGCTTACTGCTACAACCGTATCGCACACATTTGTGTTATTTTCACCAAAGAAACAACATCATGTGAAAAAAAAATCTATGCGAGAAAAAACTATGTGTTCAAGCTTGGTGATGTTCGTGAGTGGCAATGTAAGATGGCGACCATTGACTTCACCTTTTACACTTTAGTCTGCAGCAGACTTCATAAGATGTTTTGATTTGAAGGTGAGCAAAATGGTGGGAAAACGTCTCAATATATTTTGGCCATGGTCTAAATTTGTAAATAAATAACAAACAATAAACAAATCACGAATATATAGTATGTAGTAACAAGTAATTGTCATATATATGTTGAAGAAAATATGTTGTTTCATGAATAGCAATTATATTTTCGATTTTCCCTGCATCAGACATACGACAGACTACAACAATGCAAAGACTGGTGATGGACCAGGGAGACCAGCCCTGTTCTTGTTGATCCAAAAGATGTTTGATGGGGTTAGGTCAGGGCTTTCAAGCCACACTCTTGCACCACCATGCCAAAGACCTTCCCCAAACTCATCCCACAAAGTTGGAAATCATGGAACGTGTGTCACATTGCCCACATACCTTTGTCCATACTGTGGGAAATGCCAAATAGTCCGCAAATAAGAAAAGCACTAGATTGCACAGTCTGAAGTGCATGAACATTAAATGAGACCCAATATTGACCCAAATTGCATTTGTCAAAACATAGAGGTGAATATGGAGCTTTTCATTTGAGTGGAGTTTGGCACAACATACTGTAGCTCCACTCCATAGAGTCTGATGAGAGGTCGGTGTATGGAAGAGGACCACTGTGTGTCTCCAGGGGTGTGACAGCAGTATGTGAGTCAGAGCTGCTCTCGGGGCCACCAGCTCTGCGGCCCCCTGCAGGATAGCTACAATAGTCGCCCCAGGGCAGATGCCATAGCTGGGATTCCCACCCGTAACCGGGACGCCTTCGCCCAGGGCACAGACACACTGGCAGCAGCCCCACAATCAATCCATCAATCTTTGAAGGGAGACATAACTGCAAAAGGCCACAGCAGTCACCCCCGCAGCTCGCCTTGGAAGGGGCCACCGGGGAGACTGGCTGACACCATGACACCTCAAAGTGCACCGAATCATCAAGGATGCCAGAGTCAACCAGACAGCAACCAAGTGTACAGCCATTTTGCAGGAGAAGACAAAAGTTGCATTCTCTTGGTCACAATGAATTGTTTCTTTTTTGTTGTTGTTGTTGTTTTTATGAGATTTTCACCATTTCGCATTTTCACCATCTCATCAAGTTGTGTTGCTTTCAGCCTTGCATACATTTTGGCTACTATCATTTTTAATGTGGCTGTCAGGGAGTTGTAGCAAGTGAAGGGATTTCAACTTCATCCTGAAGATCTTTAGACTCTGTCTCCTCCTGCTGGACAATGGGGACTTTGAATTCTTTTACAATGAGAACAATAACACGACAGTAATACTCACTGACTGACACTGACAGATGAATATTCATTGAGCAACAAATGAAGCTAGCCTAACGAGGGACTAAAATATTCAGAATGCCATGCTCCATGATTCCCATGGTCAAAAGGGAGGCTTGACCAATACATGGTGTGGCTGCGAAAATAATTTCCAAGTATTTTAGAATATCAGTTGCTGATGGTGTTGTGGTCCACTCACCTGATGTGTGTGGGCAGCATGGGATCGGTTTGCACTCAGTGACGGTATGAATGTGGGTGTAAATATTTGTTCGTCTCTGTATGTACTCTGCGACTGACTGGCGACCACTTCAGGGTGTAGTGCGCCTTCTGCCCGAAGTTAGTTGGGATGGGCTCCACCAGCCTCCCACCGGTGGTCGACTGGTTAGCCTTCCTGTGTGTATTTTGCATGTTCTCCCCGTGCCTGTGTGGGTTTTCTCCGGGTACTCCGGTTTCCTCCCACATTCCAAAAACATAAATGGTAGGTTAATTGGACACTAAATTGTCCTCAAGTGTAATTTTGAGTGTGAATGGTTGTTGTTTGTCTATGTGTGCCCTGCGATTGGCTGGCAACCAGTTCAGGGTGTACCCCGCTTACTGCCCAAACGCAGCTGGGATAGGCTCTAGCATGTCCTCTGTCACGGGTGCCGGATGTCAGAAGCGGATTGCACAAATGTAGACAATGATAGATAATTTACAATAATTTATTAAAGCACAACGCAAGATTGACAAAGTACAAACAATGACGCTGGTAACAATGAACCAGGAAAAACAGAATAAACCAAAAGCACTTGCAAAAGGCAAGGAAGAATATACAAACATACTGTCAGTAGATTGCCTCAAAAGGACAAGAGAAATCCAGTTACAAACACGAAAAAATTCACAGACAATAGCTCTGAGACAAAAATACTTCCAAAAACACAAATACAAAGAACTGCCTAGATGACTATGAAGCGGGTTGTCAGCATTGTAGTCTTTTTAAAGGCAAGTGATGATGATTGTCACAAAATTCAACCAATGTCAAATTGGCACCTACAATGATGATGAGTATGAGGATGATGAGGATGATGATGATGATGATGATGATGATGATGATGATGATGATCAGGTGCAGAGCTGGAGGAACCGCCTTTCGATCCCGCCTACTACGACACAGAACTATAAAGAAATAAAAATATGGAGAGGCTTAACTGGGGCTACACAGATTTGTAACAAAGCTACTGTACATAGCACTCCCCAGCTCTGGTGTAGCGTCATGCCTGACTCCATGACAAAAGATGCTTCTCCTAAATAAGAAGAATTATTAGCTTTAACCACCTGTTGCTTGTTTGTAGGTCTTCACTTTTTTCTTCAGTAAGAAAAATGAAAAGCAGAGAGATCAGGCCAATGAACAACATGACATACCTTTTTAGCTCACGAGCTAGCTGGAGGCTAGTGTTTCTTTTTTTTAAAGCCTCCTTTGTTATACTGGCCAATTTTTGTAGTCACTTAAAGTTAGCAGGAATAATAGCAACACTATATTCTGTGGTGTGTCAAATTTAAAAGACATTTATTTTCACTTGACAGAGACTTTAAACCAGCAAAAAAGAGGATGAGCTCAGGATGATTTGTCAATAAAAGTTACTCAGGTTCGCCTCGTTGTTTCACTCAGCGCGCAGTCAAGTTGAGGAATCGTGACTAATTTGAGACTGCGTTCACAAATGAAGCCTGTTATGGGGCTGAGTAGTTGCTTGACCATGTGACAATGCGGGCATTGTGGCCGGCTGCTCCATGTGCATCAAAGAGGTGATTAAGTTGCAGGCTGCAACGAGGACAATACTGCTTTTTACACAGGGAACAGTGTAGTCACTTAGTGCACTGCAGCAGTGCTTGGACAAGCGTGTATGAGACACATCTGTGCTTTAAAGAGATGCGAAGGGATTCATAGTGCTTACGCTCATACAAACACAAAGGTTTTTACTTTGCAGGGTTTTTGTTTTACATATACGCTGCTCATCAAGAAAAGGCGTCTTAAAGAGTGACATATCCACTTCATTGTGTCTGTGCTTGACATTTTGCCCATGGTAAAAAGACAGTTATTAAGCACAATTATTTTGTATTTATTCATCTCACACATGCTACTTAGTCGGTGACAGTGATGTCCTTGGAGTTAATAAATGAAACAACATCAAAAAGACGGATCATCCTCTGATTGGTGGAAAAGTCCATCTCCTGGCCAACCACATCAGCCCTTTCTGGGAGGGAAGTTCCTGCTCAAAATAAAATCCCACTTGTTGGCTGTTTTCATCAATTCAATTGGCGCCTTTATCTGGTGTTTTTACACATTCAACCGTTAACTCGAACTTCCCCAGGGGAGACAGAGGGAAGGAGAGCTGGATGAAGTCAAGATTCTAAAGTCAAGTAAGCATTAGGTTTACTGACACTGATGTGGTATGTGATACTTTGGTAAATCAACATGAACCAGTGGCTTGTCATTTCAATGTCGGTGACATTGCTGTGGAGTCTACAAGCAACGTTTACTGAAACACATGATGGTAAGTGAGCAAATGCTATTCATGAACTAACAACCCTGTGTCATATTCTTTACTTTAGACGCCATAGCACTTTTTGTGCTCGCCTTACGAGCTTCTTTGTGCTGTTATTGTTCATCGTAAATCTAGGGCATTAATGCATACTGTAAGACTATAACACTCTTTATAAACTGCTAGTGATAAATAGAAGCAACATAAATTCCCTTGTGCAGAATTTCCGAGGGCAACTCATCCTTTTAACCGGACAACATGAAATAGAAGAATGACTATTTCTTTATTTTACAAAGTGGTGAAAGCTAGACGTTATAATGAATTGGTTGCTTATTATGAAGAAAATAATGCCTTTATGTACAGATTGGAAAAGTCTAATCAAAGTACATGTAAGGCAGTATTGTGGTATTGAGGCATTCTGTTCTTACTGCAGGATTTTTAGCCAAGTCACCCAAGACATCTGTCTAGATAGTGTATAAATAAATAATACTTTTATCAATGATGATATAGATTACATGACAATAAAGCAATCCATATGCTGTCTGTTGAGAAGCACCCCCACAGCAGGTAGTACAGCATGGATCTTCAAACCTATCCCTTCCATGATGACCGGAGATGTTGCTTTTGTTAACTGATGCTTGGTTGTGCAGAAAGGATTATGGCTGGTCGCTAAGAGATTGTTTGCATGCGTCCTCTTCCGTTCATGATATTTCCCTCCCCGCTGCCAAAAGAGACTCAGCCATTGTCTTTGCTATAATCTCAGCAGCACAGCGCCTCATATCAGGCACACATATACTGTATAGAGCCCCGTGCACATACACTGAAGTACTGTCACCGCACAGAGAGAGACAGAGGGAGACACTGTTCACATTTATAGCTTCATCACAATAAGAACTTTGTATGAGAAAAGCCCTTTCTCTTTGACCCAGAGTGCTCAATTCCATCAGCTTGAGGCCTGGACTTCTCAGTGTGTCCGAGTCATGGACTAGAAACAGTTTTACTTTTCAGCCTATTGTATTTTGTTGTGAGCGGTGCTCACAACAAAATACTGCAGGGAAATAGCGTCCAGACACTCATTTGGTCACCACCTAAATGGGTCCCACACGTTCTACAGACTTCTGTGTTTGAGTCAGGGGGACCGAAAATTGAACCTTGTGAGACACCGAACAGAGTGTGTGTGTGTGTGTGTGTGTGTGTGTGTGTGTGTGTGTGTGTGTGTGTGTGTGTGTGTGTGTGCGCGTGTGTGTGTGTGTATGTGTGTGTGTGTGTGTGTGTGTGTGTGTGTGTGTGTGTGTGCATATTTTATGAAAGTGTAGTGTTTATACTAACTGTGTTTTTAATACAGTTTATATTGTCATACTATACACTGTTGTCATTGCTATAGTGAAGTGGTTCAGCAGCTGATTTTCATGAATGCTCACACATTGCCCAATCAACACTACAGAATTAGGCATGATCCTGAACAGGGTAAACAGTAGAACAGTGGATGGATCATTACAACTCAAGGTAGCAGTATCTCAGTCAATAAAAACATGGCTTAAAGACCAGATGTTGGAAGATGGAGAAAATATGGGACTTGGGGCTGACTGTGAGATCTTCTCAGTGCCCTTGGGCAAAGCTTTACAAATAACTGCCTCTCCCAAACTCCTCGGGTCTGCAGTGCTGTTTGCTTCGATTGTTGTTTTGATGCTGTAATGCACGTGTGTCTTTGTTTATGGTGTGTATGTGTGTTAGTGGTGTGTCTTGGTACCCAGAATGGACTGAGCTCCACAGGCTCTCAGGAGAATCAATACAATCTGATCAAGGAACGCTACGACAACTGTGAAATCATCATGGGAAACCTGGAAGTCACACAGATTGAGAGCAACTGGGACTTGTCTTTCCTTAAGGTAAGAAAACAACATCGATAGCCTTGCAAAGGGGAACAGACACGGTTTGTCCTTCCTTCTGCTGACCATGTCCAGAAGACAGAAGGACCGACCGTAAATCAAGCTCTCCTGTTTTAGCTGTTTTGTTTCATGAAACTCTTCTACCTCCTTGCAGACAATCCGTGAAGTGACTGGCTACGTGCTCATCGCCATGAATCACATTCAGGAAATTCCCCTTGAGCAACTGCGGGTCATCAGAGGAAGCAGCCTTTATGAAAGGCGCTTTGCCCTTTCTGTTTTCTTCAACTATCCCAAGGACGGATCCAATGGCCTGCGGCAGCTCGGCCTCGCTAATCTAACAGGTGACAACAGAAATGGTAGAACACTTTCCAGACGTAAGAAAGTTATTTTTAAATAGGGCCAATTAATTCGATCGCTCATTTTAAAGGACATGCTCATTGTCAGTTACAGTTTTTATCTGATGGCTCAAGGACATTTTTTGATTGGCTATTTTTGCAAAACACTTCACTCAAATAAGAAAACCTTTCAGCAAAATGGCAAAACATCGTGGTTGTTTTGGAAAAGCAAACACCGGTAAGTCTTGAATCAGTCTTCAGACCTTTGTAAAAATGATATTTTTATGTCAAACAATTAACACAAGCCATCATATTAGTCGTCAGAAAGGTGTGAATAAAAGGCATAATTGTGCATAGTTTTGCAAGGAGTGTGTTGATCATTTCGAAAGTGACTGTAAAGCAGTGAGTGGCATGTTACAAAATTTCAAACTCAGTACAAAGCAGTGTTTGTGCTTTTCATTCTGCAAACTACGTGAGTGATTTAGTGAGAGATATTAACATGAGTATTGTTGTATTATCTGTCAACATGTATTGCTCCAGTGTTTGTGTTCAAATATCCATTGCTTAAAGGGTTCAAAAATTCAACTATTGAAGCTAACTGTTAGCAAGCCAGTGGCATTTTCCATTATATCTTAGCATAATGCTAGTGGGCCATTCTCAAGGCAGCGTTGTTCAATGTATAATTCTCATTTTGAAGCATCTGTCTTGATGAATATATCACTATATGTCAAAAAGATGCTAATTGTGAAGTGAGTTGAATTGGAGATAATTCCTAACACACGGTGCTCATGTCTCAAGTTTGTGCTCGCAAGTCTAAGCAAAAAAATTGGCCAATGCTGGCTTATACCTTGAAAAACGCCTGCTCTTTTCTTGCAGAGATTTTGGAGGGAGGAGTTCAAATATTTAACAATAAATACTTGAGTTATAGTCCGTGGGTCTACTGGCAAGATATAATCAGGGACGGCAATGCTCCTGTTGACATCTACTACAATGGCCAGAGAGGTTTGGACAGCTCTTTTTAACAAATGAACTGGTTTTACTGATGTGCATTGTGTGCTCAGCGGTCGTCCTTGTGTCCTTTGCGTTGTCTCAGGGCTGTGCCACAAATCTTGTGGGGATTATTGCTGGGGGCCAAATGAGAACCAGTGTCAGATCTGTGAGTGCACAATCGCTCCCATTCTCTTTTTAGCCTTGTCGATGACCTTTCGTGTTTCCTTCCATTTCCACTGCATTCTTCAGCTCGTAAGAAGGGCGTAGCATTCATACAAAAAAGCGGGACACACGAATGCTCCTAACCTCACGTCAAGTCTTGGCTCCCCCTGTGCGTTTCAGTGACCAAGATGGTGTGCGCTCCACAGTGTAATGGTCGTTGTTTTGGGACGAGCCCCAGGGACTGCTGTCACATTGAGTGTGCAGCGGGATGCACAGGCCCTCTGGATGTGGACTGTTTTGTAAGTTTTGGAGTCACTACCTGGGAATCAGACACAGTAAATTTAATAGAGTACATTTTACTCTAAAAAATCTATAATTTTAGTCCGAGTCTAAACACAGCAAAATTTACATTTGGAAGAGAGTAAAATATTCTCAGTAAATTTGACTCAAAGTGTTTTTACTCTGTACGACAAAATGTTCCTATCCAATCGACTACGTGGGTGGAGCATTAAAGTTTAATGGTCATTTTGAGGACTCTATGAAATTTAAAGTCCCTGAAAAGCACTGGTGTCAAACTCAAGGACGGAAGCCAGATCTGGCCCGTCACATCATTTTATGTGGCCCACGAGAGGAAATCAAACATGTCAACTCCTATGATGTCTACTAAAACCTGACCAAATTTTCAAATTCTCATAAATAAGAGAAATATTGTCAGCATTTTCTCGTTACTAAACCCCTCATTACAGTAACTTAAACTGTAGATGAAAAAAAAAAAATCTTGACTTATTTAACAGGCATAACAGCCCTCCAAGGGACAAAAATGAGTTTGACACCCCCCCTGTAAAGTAAAAATAAATGTTTTTGGTAAATTTGACACAATAAAAAAAAAATTCTCGTGTCAAAGACAAGCAGGCCTAAGAATTCAACCATTAGATTGTACAGGAAATGAAATGTCCAGTGAGTGTACATGGTCCATTTGTGTGTGCATAGGCATGTCGCCATTTCAACGACTCCGGAGCCTGCGTGCCTCAGTGTCCGCAAGCTCTCATCTATAACAAGCAAACTTTTCAGATGGAGACGAACCCAGATGCCAAATATCAATATGGATCCATTTGTGTCTCTCAGTGCCCCAGTGAGTGCACTCTGGTGTAGTCACCTCACACCAAACCAATTTTATTTATTGACTCTTGACACAAATCGAATTTGGTCTCATTTTGGTTGTGCCCTTTTCACGTGAATGACTGCTGCTTGCAGCTCATTTTGTGGTGGACGGGAGCTCCTGCGTGAGCGTCTGTCCTCCAGACAAGATGGAGGTGGAGAGAGAGGGACACAGACGTTGTGAGCCCTGCACAGGACTCTGCCCGAAAGGTTCAACTCAGATAAATACTCCACTTGCCTGGTGGGCAAAAACCATTGTCATCTTGTGACTGTGTTTTCCCGTCTCTTGACAGTATGTGAAGGCACAGGTGCGGAACACAGGCAGACCGTGGACTCCAGTAACATTGATAGCTTCATCAACTGCACCAAAATCCAAGGAAGTCTTCATTTCTTGGTCACAGGCATTCTCGGGTATGTCCCAATGCGTTTCCTGGACACAGTGCCAGTACGTCAAGAATGTTGATATCGGGAATGTTTTGTTCTGAGTGGGAGTGTGGTAGTGGCGGTGTTCAGTTCAGTAAGGGGGAGCCAGGACATGGAAGGCTTTGTAGGTGATGGGGAAGACTTAATATGAGGTGTGTTTGAAAAGAGCCAGGACTGCTGTTACCAAAGATATGACATGAGTTTCAACTCCAAAGTACAGAATGCAAGTTTCCCCCTTTGAAGAAATCGCCCTGGTGTCTTTGCTGCAGCATGCCAATGATCTTCTCAGCCAAGAATTGGATGCTCAGGTATTGTGGGTAGGCGCAATCTGTTCTTCCACAACTCGCACATCCTCTTGCACACTGAAGCAAGCAAGCAAGCGCCAAATGATCTCTTTGTAGACATGCTGCTTGATCATCTGGCCCACCTTGAAGGGGAAAACTCTTAGTATGCAGTTTGACTTTGAAGTTGAGCTTTTGTACTCCAGTCCTGGAACTTCTCTGGCACACCTTGGAGTGTTGCACTGCGGGAATGGCATTTTTGAAGAGTCTGTGTTATGGATGCAAGTATGAGACAGAAGACCGGCAACAGAGTTTGCGATCTCATTTTCCACCAGAATAGCTTGTCAGGTTGTTCCTACACTGACAGCTTCGTACTGTTTGCTCATAGATTCCCCAAATGAAAAAAAATGTGCAAAACCGTCCTTTCCAGGAGCAGGAAGTGAGTCAGACAGACACAAACTAAGGAAATAACTCTGAAAACAGCACAGCAAGGATCACAATTGAATCACTATGCTGTATCAGTTGCAAAGGAGTTAGTGTTTCTGTTTGGCTTCTTCAGAGACGACTTTAAGAAGATCCCACCTCTGGATGCTAAGAAGCTGGAAGTGTTCCACACTGTTCGAGAGATAACAGGTGCACTGTCTCTTACATGCACTGCTTTGAGCGAGTGCTTTCCATCATGTTCAGAGAAACATGCCGAATACTGTGTCAACAAAAACCATCTGTGTTGTGGCCACAACTGGCATCTGTGTTGAATGAGCAGATGTCCTCAACATCCAGTCGTGGCCAAACGAGCTCAGTGATTTATCCGTTTTTTCGAGTCTCACCACCATTCAAGGAAGGTCACTTCACAAGTAAGTCTTGTTGCTTTTATAGCTCGGACTGCCAGTGATATCAGAACCGTGTACTGCTACATGTGAACATTTTGCATGATTTGCTACAATGAATAATAGAACACTTCGAAAATCATTGCAAAAGGGTGGAAGGAAGAATGGCTCTAAATTGACATATTGCACACAAATGGAGTTCAATGAAGAACTGTTGCCCACACCGTGTTGAAATGATCATAATGATCATCACAATACGCAGGTGCACCAACCCTTTGTATGTTTGTGAAAATAGAGAACAGTCTTCTTCATATAAAATCTGCCTCAGATTTTTGTCAGCATACGCTACTAGATTCTTCTACGAATGAGTGTCCACAAAACAGTCAAACAACATTGGGTATCTTCAAAATGTTTCCTCCAACCTGTCAATCACAGGCGCTTTTCCCTGATGGTGATGCGCATCTCCACGCTCACCTCGCTTGGTCTGCGCTCTCTCCGAGAGATCAGCGACGGCAGCGTGTACATCAGTCAGAACACCAAGCTGTGCTACCACCACACTGTGAACTGGGCCAAGCTGTTCAGAGGACGTCGGCTGCGAGTCAACAGCATCAACAGCAACAGGCCACTGGCGGAATGTGGTGAGGTCGGCTGCGTGGGTCTTCTTCAATCTCGCTTGTTTCATTTGGGAACAAAATGTTTGTGCGTTTGTTCTGATTCTTTTGACGGAATTGTTGCAGTTGCTGAGGGTCATGTGTGTGACCCGCTGTGTTCAAGCTCCGGTTGCTGGGGCCCGGGACCTGACCAGTGTCTCTCCTGCCGGAACTACAGCCGAAATGGCACATGTGTGGACAGCTGTCATTTTGATGCTGGGTCAGTACATCATATACAGTATACATTTCTGTACTCCCAAAACATTTGGGATATTTGCTTTGGGATGAATTTCATGGTTAACGTCAAATGCGCAATAACCTTTTAATGTGCATCTAATGTGACCTTCTTTAAACATTTCAATGCACATTTCCGCATTTTAAACGTTTAAGTAGATTTTGCACCTCTTGTGAATTTCGTTCTTCCACTCCTAGTTAGAGAAATGCTTGTGGTGCAAAAAGTATTGAAACAGTGAACATTTGGACATGTGCATATTAAGTTCACCCTGAACTAAAGTTTGGGTTGAATTGACTCAATTTTATTTCGTCATGTGCTTGCGCAAAATAAAATGATCTGGATCCAGATCGATTTTAAAGAAGATATACAGTTTACTTCAAAGATGTTTTATGAGTGCAGTCACTTGACAAGATCGAATTGAGTAAATTCAACACACTGTTTGTTTCAGCGTACCTGTAAATGTTCAAATGCATTTTAGGCTCAGCCTGAAATTTCTGCCCAAACTATCACAAATTTTTGGGAGTAGTGTATGGTGGGTAATATTGTTGTTGAACCTCACCATACCTGTCTAACTGTCACTTTTGTGGTCTCAGATCCTCAAGAGAATTTGCGAGGACTGACGGAGAATGCGTTTCCTGTCACTCGGAGTGTAAACATCTGCATGGGAAGGCCAGCTGCACAGGGCCGGTAGGCACTTCTGCTGGGAACTTCTACTGTTCGGTGACAGTGGCTGACTTCTACATTGTTCTCATTTTTAAAATTTCAAAATAAGAAACCATTGTTTTGTACAGGCCCAAACTAGTCTTCATAAAATGCGCAGCCTGTGTTTTAAATGTCATTAACTGTTATAATAATGTAAAAAATATATCTATTAACCACAGCAAAAGTCACCTCAAATGAGATATCCTTTTAGGAGATCTGAGAGACAGAAGGAAGAGGGGCCTGAGACATGTTTGCGGAAGGGGTATGGTTACCGACAGGCGTTTCATTGGGCTTGGTCAAATTAGTAAGTCTTGTGTCAAGTACTGTGGGTTTATACTAGCACATTCTCAGTCAGTAAAAAAATGAAATTATGTCGAATTAATTCATTGATATTCGAACAACGACAACCTTCCCTCAAATGTCTTTGGAAGTTCCATTTCTGGTTCCTTGATTATCATGGTACTTGTCAGGGGCGTCACGAGGTTTGAAGAACAAGGGGGGCTTAGCCCCAAGGGGAACACAGCCCTTTTAGGGGGGTCCGGGGGCATGCCCCTCCGGGAGAAATTTTTTCTACATTCTATTAAAAATCCATCAATTCCGTGCACTTTGAGAGCAAAATGAAGAGGCTATGAAGAACTACACACATCACATTAGTATCCTCTTTACTATGATGGGGCTTCCTCCCCTGGACTTTAACTGGACTAGATAATAGAAATTATAAAGAGTTCAAAAGTTCAATCTTGGTTGTTCAAGGGAATTAGAAGGATGCCCGATAACATAACCTATATGACAGTAGTCCTATATTCCTCTCTACCAAAATGTATTAATATATGCTTAGCAGTGGCGGGCCGTGCATTTCAACCTTAGGCCTTCAGTGACGTCACATACATACACAATATAGGCTCGTCAAGCAGTTCAAATAAATAAATTTATTTATTTTATATTTATTTATTTTATATAGGCCAAAATCTCAATAGGTGTTGCCTCAAAGAGTTGGTGTAATGATTATTTATGTATTTAATAATAATATGGCGCTTAATTTTTATTAAGCACCACCTTAATTTATCCAAAAGCGAACACTTGTTACAGTGCAGTTTCTGCTGTTACTGGAGATATTTTAGCGGACTATAGTCACTAGTTTTACCAGCATGGATGAATTGAATACTTAATTTACCTTTCTAAAAAACTGTCGAATATCCATCCTGTCGACTCAACCTGACTTTCGGCAATGAACTGTCGCCATTTGATGTGGCGACGGTGACAGACTGTCACCATCGCCACATCAAATGCAAACGCAACACCTGTTGCGTTCAGGAAACCTGGGAGATTTAACAATACAATAATGGCAGGTTATCGAAATATAATTGAAAATGGCCACATGACATTGAATTTGATGCAATATATTAGCAAAAGTAAAGGAAAAATAAATAATACTTTTTTTAAATAATGCAATGAAATTATTTAGGGGGGCTAAAGACACTTTTAGGGAGGCTGAAGCCTCCCTAAAATAGGCCTAATGACACCGATGGTACTTGTCATATTTGACCTCCTAATACCTCACAAAAAGCCAAAGCACTCAATAAATAATTAGAACATTAGTGGAGTTCAAGCACGATGATGGATTATTTCTAGTTATCAAACATGATTAAAAAAAATCAGTGTTTTCAAACCGCTCCCCTGAAAATTTCCCCGCACATTGCTCATACACGGTCACCTCAGTGCACTGGATATCCACCTCGCTTTTGTCCCCTTTCCTCCCTCTCTTTCAGGGCGCATACGAATGTGCGGCGTGCGCCAACCTTCGAGACGGTCCATATTGCATGTCGTCTTGCCCTGCTGGGGTGAACGATGGCCAGCGAGGGCTCATCTTCAAGTATCCCAACAAGGAAGGTCACTGTGAACCATGTCACCAAAATTGCACCCAAGGGTGAGACTGGACACACTGACTTATTTTTTTTTTCATCAAAACCACCTGCCAAAACTAAAGGTATGCATGTATATTGCAGGTGCACAGGCCCAGGACTCAGTGACTGTTTGGAGACGGTGAGGCTGGCTGCTAGCAGGTGAGTTTCTCCCGCTACAGGTACATATTGTATATGGAGCCACTTTACACTTCCTTTTCATTGTAAAATGACAGGTGGTGACTTTGAATAACGTCTCAAGATTGACATTGTGTCAAAAGTCAAGACATTTTGTCTTTAATGGCAGGTAGAGCATAGTGAGGTTTGTGTCTAATATTTTGGCTCTACTCAAATGAGGTAACCAAAATGTTGAACTTGATGATGTCAAAATAAACTGATAAGCATTGTTGCATTGAATTCACTCAATTTTAATTCGTTCAGTGGTTGCACCAAAATAAAATCATGTGGATGCAGATACATTTTAAAGTGGGTGCATCGTCTACTTAGGTGTTTTAAATCGACAATCTTTGTAAGTAATGTCATTAATTCAAGTAGACTGCTCATCTATTTGTGTATTGTGTGGAAGCACTTGATGAACTGAAACCGAGTAAATTCAACATTTTTTTTTCAATGTAGATGCGTTCAGTAATGTGAGCTACTCTTGGACTTGTGTGTAACTAGTCTGCAGCTGCGCGATACCCGCAAGAACATGCGTTTGATCATATCTGGTCTCTTTGTTGCTACTGCCACATGAACCCAATCATGACATCACTATCCAAATTTCCTTTGCGCTATTTCTGACCCTTTTGCCTCATGTCTCCACCCTATCGTCTCACCCTCTCCTTTCGCTCTGAAGTGGCCAGATCACAGGCATCGCCTTAGGTGTGCCAGCTGGCTTGATATTCTGCCTGGTGTTGTTTTTCTTGGGCGTGCTGTACCACCGAGGGCTGGCCATCCGCCGCAAGAGAGCCATGAGGAGGTACCTTGAGAGCGGAGAGGTGAGTCGGTCCCATGAGTGGCCATCAGGTGCCTTTGCATTGCTAAGTAGACACGCTCACACAAGGATTATTCTTGTGACTTGGCAGAGTTTTGAGCCACTGGGTCCCGGGGAGAAAGGAACCAAGGTTCACGCCCACATCCTGAAGTCATCGGAGCTAAAAAAGCTCAAAGTCCTCGGTTCTGGTGTCTTTGGCACAGTACACAGGGTACCAATTTCTTGTCGTTTGGAGAAATGTCTGATGAATGCAGACTATAGGTATGCAGCTGCATGTTTGCATTTTCAAGGGGGTTTGGACTCCAGATGGAGAGACGGTGAAGATCCCGGTGGCCATCAAGACGATACAGGACAGCTCAGGCCGCCAGACCTTCACGGAGATAACAGATGTGAGAATCCCATGTCAGCAATGCTTTTGGCATCGCTGGCAAATTTAGAATTGACCGCGGGAGTCCAATGGGTGGTTTCTCCGTGCCCTCCACAGCACATGCTGTCCATGGGCAGCCTGGACCACCCCTACATCGTGAGACTTTTGGGCATCTGTCCGGGGTCCAGTCTGCATCTGGTCACCCAGCTACGTTCATTGGGTTCCTTACTGGAGCACATCAGGCAGCACAAGAACAGCCTGGGCCCCCAGCGCCTGCTCAACTGGTGTGTGCAAATAGCCAAAGTAAGCTCACATTAAGTCTGCTTACTGGAGCCGGCCTGAGCGCACAGTGGTGACGTGTTTTCGCGTCAGGGTATGTACTACCTCGAGGAGCACCATGTGGTACACAGAAACCTGGCGGCACGCAACATCCTACTGAAGAACAACTACCAGGTCCAGATCTCGGACTACGCCATAGCAGATCTCCTTTCCCCTGATGACAAGAAATTCATCTACACAAACACCAAGGTGGTTGAGCGTTTCTAATCGATAGCATTTTGTTGTCTGCTAACAGCATGCCACTGCCTGCTATTTATGTGTGTCCTTGTGCAGACTCCGATCAAATGGATGGCTCTTGAAAGCATCTTGTTTCGAAGATACACTCATCAAAGTGACGTGTGGAGTTTTGGTGAGATGCTTGATCAGTTGATTTTGGACTTATCAGTATTGACACCCTATCAAAAAGTTAATTTTGAGATTTTTTTCAAAATACATGATACATTGTTGAGGACGATAACCTTGAAACTTGCAAAGAGTGAGAACTACGTGGTACCCGTTTGTGGATACAGCATTAAGCGTCTTTTCCACAATTTCAGTTGTCCTGATTTGGGGGTGTGGCTAAATCTGGGTCCCTCACTCTCTAGTGAAGAAATTGAGTGCCTTTATTCACAAAACATTTGTTCAGTTATCCGGTGCAATTGCAAGATACAGTTAGCTGGCAGCTAATGTATAGTATCTTTGCTCTCATGGCTCCTCGAGAGCGGCTTGTTGTCAACCGTGAGCGAGTCATGCATGCACTCATCATTCAAATTTGTCAGTCCTTTTCACAACACTTTTCACTGTGGTGTGTCAAATTTATAAGACATATTTGTTATCAGAGGGCATATTTGTTTTCACATTAGATTAGATGCAGTTTCATTTTGCTCACCACCCTGTGTCACTTTCTCAAAAAAACAAATGGATCTCTTTCTCCCTCTCTCGCACAGGAGTGACAGTATGGGAGATGATGTCTTTTGGGGCGGAGCCTTACGGGTCGGCACAGGCCCAGGAGGTGCCATGTCTGCTGGAGAAGGGTGAACGTCTGTCGCAACCTCACATCTGCACCATCGACGTCTACATGGTCATGGTCAAATGTGAGTGCCACAAAAACGCATAAAATCCTGCGTACGGATGGTAAAAGCGAGCTGTTCCCTGTTCAGGTTGGATGATCGATGAAAATATAAGGCCCACCTTCAAAGAGCTGGCAAGTGACTTTACACGCATGGCAAGAGACCCACCCAGATACCTTGTGATCAAGGTGAGACACGCATCATTGGACTGCCGCACACTTTGAAAGCCTCAAATTCCGTCTTTTTATTTATTTATTTTTCTGCAGCTGGACGGAGAGGACAATAGCTCGCGGGATGCCCATCGGAGCGATTCTGAACGAGGGCTGCTTCACTCAGATTTGGTGGACGATGATGAGGACGCCCTGGAGGAAGGTTTTGCCACCCCTCCTCTGCAACATTCGCCTTCATGGAGTCTCTCTCGCTCAAGGATGAACTCGTACAAGGTCATTGAAAACATTTAATCTTGGCCTATGTAATCACCATTTAACTAAGCATCTTCCTCATGAAATTGTAGAGCGGCACCTCTCACGTCGGACCTGTTGGATACCTGCCGATGACTCCAAGTCCTGCAGAAAGCGTCCGTCAGGTTGGGTGTATGCACACACACACACACGAGAATTTGGGAACCATTTTGTTGATGTTGAGTCATGTTCACAAACAACCTGTCAGAAAAATACGATACCATTGCACTTATATGTATAATATCTGGTCATTTTTTTTGCTTTAGTGCGACTATAAGAATGGGGGCCTTCTTCCTGTTCCACTCACTGATATTTGTTGTAAGACAAAGCGAGATGTCTGTGATGGGGGGATCGATAGCTGCATAGGCAGACAATTGCCTCTTCATTTGTGCCTATAGACAGACATGTCTTTATTTTTTATTCTAATTTTTTAATGAATTTTATTTATTTACCGGTACTTCCACTCAGTTTTTCTTGAGTTCACTCCATTTCTTTCCATCAATTGGTTGCATGAAACACAATTATCTGTATCTAGATACATTGTTTAATTAGACAAATTAATATACTGACAAAATGTATCTGGATCCCGATAATTTTATTTATTTAATCGTTAGTATTTCATACTTACTTAGTGACTGACTTACATTTACTAAATGTTAAACATTTTCCCTTGAGACCAGCCAATGAGTTTCCATCTGACAAAGAACCCATGATCTTTTGGTGCTAAACCGGATAGTGGCTCCAAAAGTATTTATTATGAAGGATTTTCTTTAACAGTTCGTAATCGCGTGAAAGTAGACCTCAACTTTTTTTTCTACTCCTATATGCTGGGAATGTGTGGGTACTTCCATTTTCCCTTCAAGATGTGCATTGAACTCTCCTTTCGTTTCAAGTTGCGCTTCCAAAGGTTCCGCCGAAGCTCGGTCCGAACGCTGCCTGAAAGGTCAGAGGTCAAAGGGTGTGGCAGGGAGGCACAGTGGCGTGATGAAAGCTTCAGGACAGGCGCTCCTCACAGGACACGGCTTGGCTCTGAAAGGGCTGCCCCTCATGTATCCAGCGGCAGGCACAGAAAGCTCTCCACGGCATCCAGTCCATCTTCATACAAGGTGTGGACATCCGGCGAGAAGGAAATTGACAAAGAGGAGGAGGCGGCGGACGCAGACCACGATGGTTATGTCCTTCCTGGATCACATAGCACTCCAGAACGAGGTAAAATACAAAATCTGAAGGACGCACGTGATTTGACTGACATAAATGAGCCCTACACCCTTTGCTTGTGCCGTGCCTCACAGCTGCAAAAGTCACCCTACGATTGGACAGGGTGAAAAATTTGGCTCTGGAGTATGAAGTGATGAGCCACAAATTTGATGCTTCTCTTGACTCGGCCGACGACAACTTCTCATCGCTGGCTCATGAAACGCCACCTTCTCCAACTGCTGTCACTCTATTACCAGCCCCTGAGGACACCTTGACGCTGGTTCCAGCCACAGAGAATCAGCGGGTAAACGACAACTGCGGGGACCATTTAGCAGACTCCGCAGAGAAATTTGAGTTGAGTCGGCAGAAGCAGATCCAAGCTGTGGAGGGCCGTGTGCAGGCACTTCAGGGGAAAGGCAGGTACGAATATATGGACATTAGACGCTCTGACTCCACCGAGGAAGAGGCGCCGGCGCAGCGGAGATATGGGACATCTGCATCAGAGCCGGGTGAAACATGCGAGGAAGAGGACGTTCAATTAGGAGATGCACAGCACACAGCTAATCAACAAACTCTTCCGGGGAATGTCAGTAGCTTGCAGCAGCCAGATGTGGTCGCCGAAGAGGGAGAGAGCCAGTACGAGGAGATGGCTCCGTTTGAAGGCATAGCCAGTGGGTGGGAGCAGAAGCTGCCAGCAAAGGGTGGGGTGGGCAGCGGCAGGTGCGCGGGGATCGGGGGATACATCAGGGTGTGCGCAGGCATGGGCGAGCCGGGCAGGAGCTCATCGTTTGACAACCCCGACTACTGGCACAGCAGACTTTTCCTCAAGCCAGATGCCGTACGTACGTAAGCATGTGGATGCAGTCGAGCGGGTTGTTCTGCAGTGTGTGCTTTGCAAATATTTCTTGGTTCCAGCATGAGGAACTGCACCAAAAGTCAAGTTTCATTTCTCTGTGTGATGACACCGAGCAGGCACAGACGAGTGATTTTGCAGAGATGTGCGAACAGCATTTCTGTTCATTGCCATTTTTGTGCCTTCCAGTGAATGAATGAATCATGGCTGTCATTTTGGAAATCATAGATTGTTTCACTAATGCTGTACACAACAGGATGTCAATGACTGTCTTGTTTTGTTTAGGGTTTTTTACACTCTTTTCCCATGTGTTTGTTAAATAAAACTCAGATATTGGCTTCCAGAAAAGAATCGGTCCTTTGAGTTCCTTCCAAAATGCTAAATGCAAAATAAATGAACCTGAGTTGTTATACACCACCTGTGTCTTATGCATGCAGTACTACTGTACATCTAAATAGATATTAATAGGAGCTGTCAATCATGTATTTTTATACAAAAGTGGAAGACCATGGCATGATTAATTCTTTCATTTCCTTCCGGGTACCATCCTACCTTCCTTCTATCCTGTGTGACATTGTTTCTTCCATCCACTCTTCCTTGATTCCTTCATTCCTTGTGACATCCTTGTTTCTTTCCTTTCCACTTTCATTTCTTCCTTGCTTTCTTATTTCCATCATATAACCATAAATCCTATTTCCATTCCTTCCGACCAGCCTTCATCAATCCTTACATGCCACCTTTCAGTGTCTTCCTTCTTTCTTCCCTACCTTCATTCTATTGTTCCTCCCTGCCTTTTCTCTGTACAATCCTTCCATACTCCTATCCTGCCTTCCTCCCGCTTTTCCTTCCTTCCTTCCGTCTGAAGTAAATTTCTGAATAACATCTTTCTTCCTTCCTTCCTCTCACCCACACTCGCTCTTTGTCCCTACGTCCTTCCTTCTCCTCCCAATCTCCTTTCTTCCTTCCTTCCTTCTTGCCTTCCTATTCCTCCTTTCCTGAAATAAAGTAATTTAATACATGCAGTGGCGGGCCGTGCATTTCAAACTTAGGCCTTCAGTGACGTCACATATTATGAACACAATACTGAATAGGCTCGTCAAGCAGCACTTAATTTCAGGAGCATTTAAAACCATCAAGTATGCATTCACAATTAAGAGCAGGAAACTACATTTACAGATAGTCAAAAATAAAAAGATGATTTAAAAATACGAAAGAAAATGCCACCCAAATTACGCTGTGTGATCTTAAACAAGTCTGTCCAATAAATTGCGCAATGTCGCAGTTTCATATAAGACACCAACCAAACAAAAACAAAACAAACTGTTCTTTGAAAATAAAGTAAACAGATCATTTGCATTTTGAAAATCGATAATACAACAGCAAATAACTGACATAACTGACTAACTAATAACTGACTAACAGCTGAGATTGAACGAACTTTCGTGCACGAAGGTGACTACAATGCGCCATTATAAATTGCAGGTGAGCAGATTTATTTGATACATGTTTGTATCTTTGTCATTTTATTTCGTTACCATGAATTTAATACTAACGAAATAAAATGACAAGAAAAAATGTAAAATAAAATTCATTGACTCACCAATGTACTTCTCCACAGCGTCTGCTTATTTGAAAATAAAGTCGATCCTCTTTTGTTTTCTCAGGAACACTTCAGTGGCTCTGTTGTACAGTTTTCAGGTCCAA